GCAATTAGTATACCTGTACCCGTGTTCCTCTATCGTTATATATACTACAAGCACAGATTTGTTTACATTCTATTAGGTTGAATATTTTTTATCAAAATATTGTTAAAAGAATTTAGCTTAATATTTGTACATTCAATTGAGTTTTTTTATATCTCATAAAGATTTTCTTTTACTGTAATATTTAATAGCCTTTATATTGAAAGGCATGTTCACGGATAATGTTTTTCGTTATATAATAGTTTGATGGGCGAGAGCGTAATATATTATCAGTATGAAGTTCATTATTATATTTGGATATATATTTGAATGAAATATAAATAAGTAATTGCGAATTAAACATTAACGTTCTTTTTATATCCGTCTGGTTCAATGGTCGTTAAAAAGCTTAAAGCTTTTTTTAACGTTCTGTTTTAAAATAGCTCGAGTGCACGCAAACAATAAAGGGATCTTTACGAGCCACGCATCGGAACTGGCAGTTCCTTCCGATGTCACCAGATTTGAAAAATATGCTGATGAAGCCTTGGTACAAACTAACATTACCTCAACTTGAATATTATGCCAGAATTGGCGACATGTGTGTCTTCTTTTGCAAATTTTAGTATAACTCCATATAATTATGAGAATTTTCTATGAATAACTCCTTATGAACATTGTAATCGATTCGACAAACACATAGGTTTGAACACAATGAACAGTGATTCTGGTCACAATGTTCGTACGACAACAAACGCTCGTTCTTACAGCTAGCATCAGTTTGCTCTCGTAACACAAAACGTTGGAGGATTCGCAAAGACAATGTTTACAAATGAAACGACGAGACGCCTAGAAATAGTACACTCTGTACTACACTCTTTGGTAAACTACTGTGGGTACATAGAAACGATTTACGTTTTCAGAATGGCAAATAACTTAATGCGAGCCTTCATATATTACAACAAACAGACTACATTCAACATCCAAATACGATCGGGATATCATAACAAAGTGTACATGAATTAAATGAAAATATTTGAACAAAATTTCGAAATGACAATATAATATCTCGCCATTTTATCGTTCTGCCAAGAGTGCTCCAAATGAATTTAAGATGCCTACTTAGCATGAGAAAATAATAAAAGAGCGTAATTTGACGTTTGATATCGCGGTACTTGGTGAAAAAATCACATAAACCTACACACGACCCTAATTGCGCAACCAATGATGTGTCTAAAATAATCTTTTCATTCTATTGGATACATTGCCTGTTATTGTATTGACATTTCAAAACATTTAACATGCAAACATTGGTTAAATTTATATGTTCCATGTGAAAATTTTTATTATACAAAACCCGGTTCAAAGCAATGTTTCGCAAATCGAATTATTGAATGTTAATTGAAATATTTGATTAAAATATGAATTTTATACAATCATAAATATTTAAATGTGTTTGAATAGTTTGAGAGACATTATTTATAATTCTGTCTGAGCAGGAAAAAAATTGTCTCTTAATAAAGTTAATAAAATTTTCCATTGAAGGTGAACACCGCAATACAGATGACAATTAATCTTTCATCAAAATGACATATAAAAATTTATTGAAATATAAAATGTTCAAAATGTTATAAATCTCTTATTTATAGTTGAGTCATCGGTAGTGTCGAAACGATGGAATATAAAGCTAGTACACACGGATGGAGGTCATTAGTTTGATTTATAGCCGTTATATAGCTTCAGATAAGGTCACTTTTGGATGGATTAAAGCTATAATAAATATATCACATACACCGCAATTCCATACACGTATATAATTAATATATTTTTTATTATAGACTATTATAATTTGAGCTGTCATTCAATAAGCATAATTCTATCGTTAAGATCTTCAGTGTGTTAAGATGTCTTCGCAAATAGGGGCGTCTTTTACACAATTTGGCACGAAACTCGCGAGTAAATTGTTCTAATGATCACTCATATCTTTTTCATCTCCTTCCAACTATTCACGATACTGTAATGAGATTACGACACACGTTTCTCTTTGCTCTTTGCTCAATCTTATTTTCAAGTAGTATAGACGTTTTATATATTTGTTTAAGTAAATATGTAAGTCTGTCTGAGTGGTCTACTGGCAAAATGCTGTTCATAATATCAATTTGCACAATGGACTTTTAAAAACATAATACCAAAATAAGTCGAATTTCCATTTTAATGTTATATTAATTAGTAAATGGACTTTTAAATTTTGTTTACTCTTTTTTCCAATACATCGTTACTTCAACCCTCCAGGCTATCTGGGGCGAGTCGTATTATATGGACGCAATTATTTATTTATTGAGTTACGCCTTATTAAAATAAATAAACAAATACTTTCCGTGATAACACGACTGTTACAAAAACAATTTGATGGCTACACCCTTGCGTGTGGAACGAGATGGTTTTTATTTGGTAACATTAATATCTAGCTTTTAAACCAGACACGCCACGACAAAAACAAATAAGGATGTTATAAATTCTTTAAATATTTATTATGGGAGATGGAACCTGGACCAGAAATTTGTGGATATTTTGAATGGTAATTATTATTGCAGCTAAGTTACAGCCTTTACAGCGTTCGTATAATTCAAACTAGTTACACTGTGCTCGCTTCCTTAACTGGAAGCTACGCTACGCTGCAGCAGAGAGACATTAAATTTCGACAATTTTAAACGATAAAACATTGCCTTCGCAGCCCCTGCACAATGAATGTTTGTTGCAAATAAAGTGAATAAGCAAAGCACACTAAGCAGCCATTTTGTTCACGCTGTACGAACGGCCGTACGAGAGGAAGGGGAGGGGTGGGGGCGCACTCGGGTTGTGGGGGGGGGGGGGGCAGAGTATTCTGAACTCGTCACGGTTTTGTTGAAACAGTGAAATGCTGAAGTTTAGAATTAGTTTTTAGTAAACGTAGGTGTAATTAGATTTGCAATCATTTTATATATTCTTATACCTAGTCATTTTCACCGAATCATCTGTGTCACGATATATGTATTTTCATTATTTTGGTACACTATTACCCGAGAACATGTTATACAAGTAGTTTGACGCTACGGTAATGATAAAACTGTAATACGAACAGGTTGACGGTTTTCAATTAACCTTTTTAATAAAGTAGTCAACATTGTGGAAGGGCCCACCACTCATTATAATAAGCACACTCATATTTCGTGTTTGGAGCCGACCGCCGTCCGCAATTAGACCGTCACGTTATGGCGTGCCACTAGATCCGATTTAATAACACAGTCTCACGATATACAAGAACAGCGCCCCTTCAACTAGTGACAACAAATTATAATGATAGTCTCACCGCCTACACGTGTGACCAAATTAATTAGTATTAAAAATAGATTCAATCGTTCGATACTCATATGTATTAACATTATGTTCGGAATCAAAGGCACACTAAGTGAGGATATTCTCATTTTCATCCTCCCCGAAATTGCCTAAATGATTGCTATTATGAATTAAAATCGTTGTTCGTGGAAGCACGTTCAGAAGAGCTGGTCATTATATATAGTGGAAACATTTTATTAAATTTACAAAAATGTTATGTTCGTATACCATAACATCCCTTCTGTTAAATGTCTCATACTCGTAGGATTACTGCAAATGTTTTAGAGACAGATGTTCCCATATAAATAATTAAGAAAATTCACGTGAGTTAGACAGTTTTATTTTTAAGTCCATCATTTCTTCACTAGGTCAGATTATCAGTATTTTTATGTTTAATGATATTTAGTATTGTCAGTAAAGATGTTCAGAAGTCTATGAACCCAGGAAGTGGATGCTCACAATGAAGAGTGACGGTTAGACTGATGGAGTAGGTACCTACATCAAGTGTATAACTCCGTGTCATAAAATGCAAGGACGTGAGTGTAATTCAAAGTGAATCATAAATCTTTTTATATAACATTTTGATATTTGCAATTCCCACAAATGACCTGTGTAAAGCGATCTCCGAGAGGTGCAATAACTCGATTTGCGAATAAATGGCTCGGAAGTTGATCTACAGTATCATTCATTGGATAACTCGCGTTAGAAGTGCAAATTTTCATTCCACCAATCCACTGCTACATTGGTTACGCATATAAGTCCCTATCGTCATATAAAAGCAGCAATAAAGGGGATTAAAGTAGATTCCCCACAGAAGATTTCAAATGTTTGCCGGCATCTCGATATCCGACTATATTTTTTTTCGAATGCGACTTCTGACTGGACGATTCGTACGAATTCAACTTTTGAACATTGGGAACGAAATGAAAAATGACAGCTGAAACGTCAAAACGATTATTGATAGGCAACTCCCGAATTTACTTTTATCAGATTATAGAATACAAACCGGACTGGTTTTTAAATGATAATAAGGTTTTCATACAATATTTGACTTTCTATAACTTTAATGTTTGACATGTGAGAGTAAAACATGCTTTATGAATAGAACAATTTTAATTATTAAAATATTAAAGTATATATGTATAATTACTTTGAAGGATTTGGTATTTAATAAAGGTCAAAATCAAGAATAGAATTGAGTATCTTGCAAACTCGTAGTGTTCTTAACCGTACTCCTAATCTATGGAGCGCAACTGCGGTATCGTCCGGTCCGAAGCCAATTAGTTGAGATAGGTTCTGTTTAGATGGGAGACTCTGAGAGAACTTAACTAGTGCTCCCAACTGTTTGGTGAGCGGTCGAGGGGATTCGAAATCACTTGGGTTTGTTAGTCTGATAGTGCGGCGATTCACTAACGAATACAGCTAGCCACTATCGCAGACCGTCCGTCTTCAGTCCTCATTCAAAACATTCTAAAACTACTCGGACGTCGAGATGCATTATTGCAGAAAGTCTTAAAACTTATAATTAATACACCGGCAAACTAAACTTAGAAAAATTTTGATTTCAAACATTGAGAGCGTTTCTCGAAGTATTAATGAATTTCAAATTCAGTAGTAACAATTTCTTTGACGCGAACTTTTGCACTAAGAACCTAAGCACGTTTTAATTCGTAAGTTTTCGTCTGATGAGTGCTCCCTTGTGAGTCTACACCCCAAGGGGTGAAATCGTGACGGGATTCATGATGAAGACAATAAAAACCTTGAAGGTGGGGCGGTTCTTCCAGGAAATTAGCTGTCACATTACGAAGCTATTAACGGTTCGTTATGTTCTGAGCTGATAAACTCGATGTGACTCTGATCGAAGTTTGCAAGCGCGTTTGGATTTCGTTTCGGTAATTTATAGTCGCACAATGTCTGTTTGTATTAAGACTGTGCGCTCATTACCACATTGTCCAACATAAAAAATGATACATATGACAGTTTTTCTAGCGCTTAAATACTGAAATAAATGCTTTTTACGTTAGAGCGAGTTGTCTTTTAAATTAAATGACCATTATTGGTGTGTATATTTCAATGAATATTAAATAATGTCGAGGAAAACATAATTTGTGTATGCAATGTCGTAGTGGTTACTCGCAGCCACTTCAGAACAGCTTGCAGGCCCCAATAATTCATTGCTGTAATTAAACGGAATTGCAAACCGTACCGGCTACATCACCTCGGGCAAATTAAGTTTACGGGAGCTAATTATGAGTAATGAGTTGTTTCTCGAGCACTTCAATATTCCGTCTGCCCCTGACGGCTGTCGTTAATTTTTATTTTTCACTCCTACTTTGCGATTTCTCCTGGAACGTAGCTTTAGCCAATTAGTTTCCTCGTAGTTACTCATAATTGGTTTGAGTCGACGAAAATGTTACTTCAGTAGTTTTGTCTTTATGTTAGTTACTGAGCCTTAATCCGAGGTAAGTCGATTATAAAGGGATTTATTAACCGGCCTAATATTATTTTGGGCTTCCTCACGTTAGTAAAGCTGTTCTATGTATAAATCATATTTCCCAGCTAATTTATTAATTATTGTTTGATAAATGAGAATGTGTAATAATAATTACATTAAAATTACGCTATATATCGGCTCATAATGAGATATTTTTTTGTACGTCAGAGGAGTAACTTGAAAAACAACGGCGGCCATTTGTAAAGTTCGTTAGAGGGCAGACCCACATAGAGGTGCAATTAGAACAAAAGTGATAAAAAAAGTTGCAAGTGACCGCTCGGAGCAATCGACTCCAATTGAGTGCTATCGTTTTGTACAATTTTTAAAGCGTTGCCAACTATGGATATAAATTTAAAGTGATATTCCTGATACTAAGTATTTTCATATTTTTATGTTGCTATGAATTGAAATTAAATACCACCAAAAACCGCAGAATTCGTTTACTTATTTTTCACATGAAATGTGCCTCGATATAACTTAAATGTGAATTTTGAACGCAAAATTTTAATAAAAAAAAAAACAGCAAGTGTCTCGGTTATTTTTGATTTAATATTTTTAATAGCCAGAACCGCAATCACTAATTAGCGAGTTAGTGAACTCGCAATTTAAACGAGTGAGAGGTGAAGTGTTTCACTCACCGCTAGTATTCTGTAGTTGATGTTGTACAGGTTCTGTGAGTTGCTTATTGTATCCTGAAAACAAAAGATATACAATATTAGAAATGTCTTGTTTGTTGAAAAATTAGAACATCTTTTGAAATTGTCTTACAATGGCTTTCCAGATAAAAATTATAGTAAATTTGTAGCACATTTAAGCTATTTCCGTACCTATTGGCATTTAATTTAATATAATTTAATTTAATAAGAACGAATATTTTTTTTGTTTTAATTATAAACTATTTAAAAACATTAAACAAGTTGTATAAAATATATACTCTAGCCTGTCAAAACTTCAAGAAAACACAAGTTATATAGTAAGTTACATTCATTCGCATGTTGTTATCCAAATCAGGAAAAACCAACCCTCTGAATAAATGGGGTTTTACCACAACAGTGTTGTAACTTGTTAAAACTGTATTAATTAGTACTGAGGGCATGCGCTAGAACACAAACCCAAGTCTCGCAAAGCGCAGACAAAGAACGCATGTTGATTGTAACTTATGAGCTTTTCAAGTAATTTGTAAACTACATTTACATAGAAATTAAAATAAGAACTTGTATTAAACATTTCACGGAAAGACGGTATAAAACTTTCAACTACTTTTGTTTCTCTTATTTTTCTTTAGATACGAAAAGTGTTTGGACTGCAAAACAAGTACTTGAGTTTAAAAGGAGAGGAGTGCAAGAGAGTTTACAATTATATGACTCGATTTTTTTATAGCGATCAAAATAAAGCCTATAAAAAGCAATAAGCAGATACATTGGGGTCGCGATACAATCTAGCTAAGAGTGAGAGCAACGCAATTTGCAGTAAATAAGGATATCGGTTTAGCGCTATTATCCGCGGTACAGCGGGCCTCGTAAACACGCCTCTCTTAATGAGATACGCAGTACGCTGCCAGCATTGATGTGTGATTTATTATTTTATACCTCGTTGCGGACATTGTTATTTTCCTGTCTAAACATTTCATGCAACACCACGCACACCTTCAGCTAACTAATGCAACCTACTCACATCAAATCTAATCTAGATGTCCCCCTAAATAATATGAGTTGGAAAATGTTCTGTATGTGAAAATGAAGTTGCTGACAGTTATTAAAATCGGTTTGAATGTACAATTTAGTTTAATGCTCTTATGCGCTTAGAAATGCAGTCCACTAACAGAAACGAGCTAAGTTTTGTTCTAATGCGGATTATACAGTTGATCCTCGAGTGGATAAATACAAGGCGTTCGTGTCAACCGGCCGCGCCACCGGCGACGGGACTTGACGGGACAAAGGGGGGACGTCCGAGATGGTTTCTAATTACGACGGAGACCGTTATGCAAATCGGGGGACGAGGCGAGCTCCATGTCTCTAATAAACATGCGCTCTTGCGGTCATACCGCCAAATTACTTGCCTTCCATTCACCCCGCGAGCAATAAAACCACTTTTGGTGGAGAACCCACTCTGGACAATTAGTACCCCTTTGATTAAAGAAATACTGTTACAATTGTTTCGTTTTTATCTTAGTTTGTTACTGAATAAAATGGCGAGGCCATTTAGGCCGGCAGTTTATTAGGAGGCTCTCGTTTAATGTTAGCAGAAGCCAAGCCAACTAAATGTTGGCAGATGCGTTCTGCTAAATTGAACGGCAGTCTTAGAAAATCGCCAGGCCGTGCCGTGACTGCGACCATGTTGAAACTGGGCTAACAGCACCGCTTAGAATCACTCTGTAATTTTTCACAGACGAATGTCCGGATAACACATCAACATTAAACAAGTTCATTGAAAATGAAACTTGTAATGCTATTAATATTTCGTGTTTCATATACTTAAAATGCTACGAAATATTTTAAGATCAATGTTTTGCTGTCATGCAATTCTTAAATCCACAACGGTTGTAGTTCGACCGGAAAAATATTCATTTTTCACACGTTCCGCAATATTTCCGTTCACATTGTAACAATCAGGGTACGTTTTGTTCATATCTTCTCCTGACAAAGGGAGGGTGCGGCTAAGCGTCATGGCGACGGAGGGTTATTCGCACTTGCTCGATATTGATGCATTTCTGTATGTTTGTAAGGATGTCGTTACCGGCGTTGAACTGCTCGAAAAAGTATCGCTACCCGCTGATTTATGGTACACACTTTAAATTCAAATAAAGTATATATTCAAGATATACTTTATATTCCCATAACCTTATGTAATTAAATTTTCAATTATAGATAAAAAAGTCACAAGTGTCCGTCCACATATCTGAAAAGTGTTTATAAATCGTCTGGACTGCGATAGTTTTAATTAACCGTATCTAGTCCGATACGCCGCTGCCTATAAATCTCTCAGATCCAATGACCTGCGCTCCTTTAATGAATAAAATTTAAATTAATGTATTCAATGTAAGAGATATTCTAATGTTATCTTTGAATTTGAATGTGATCCAGCGTTTGGATGAAATATTTAATTAAGTTTATAGATGTTAAAGTTGAAAGGTTTTATATCAAGAAGTGAATCATTAATTTATTTTCAAATAAATATATGTAGAATTTTCATCGGTGGAAACAAGCTATAAAATAATATGGACAAACAGTGAACTGTGGTTCATTATTCATACGGCTCCAGTGTAAACCAACAAATTTAATATTATGATATTAATTACAAAATGGGAAAACATCTATTGACTGGAACAGTAATTAAACAATCGTTACCAAATAGTTTTATGTTTTCCAATTTATAATATCATTCAAAGTTTAATTTATAATTATAAATTTGAACGAAAATTTACTTTTCATAGATATTGAATTTTTTGAAATCTCGTATTTATTTGTCTCATGTTCTTGTCACACTTTCACAAACGACCTGATATCTTATTTTGATAAGTTGTTCCCGAGGCAAGAATTCTTATGGTGATATTGAAAGTAATTCCTTTATGGCAAATATCAAGGTAAAAGAATTTCTAACAATACCTTTTTTGGCCAACAATATTTTTATAAAACGATGATAATATGTATAGCTGGGTATAAAATCTTAAAACAAAAACATCTTCGGCAAAACAATACCTTCACTACTAAAATACATTAGTATTCCATCAAAACCTATTAAAGTTGTAGAACTTCGTCGCTGTTATAAAGCGCTCTGTCGTTTCTTTGAGATTCAACATAACTTTAAAGACATTATATCTTCATAGCATGTGCAGAATACAACATTTATAATAAAGTGATTATATAATTATATACACATATAAAAGTAAACCCTCGACATAAGGAAAAAAATAGGTCTTTTATATAAGATTAGGTTGTAATAATGGTGTATAATTGTCAATTAATGCACGAAAATTGGAGGAATGTTTATTTTTTGTAAAATGTAATATAATAAATACTATTTTAGTAATTACTGAATCCAATTTCGAAATCATTTGATATGATGATTTGGACATTGTATAATATGTATGTTTATATGTATGTAGTAAAATATTTCTTTTTCCATAAAGAAGTACGTAAACAGTGCAGACGAAATAATTTATTTCCGTGATAAATTACTAGCAGTAAGAGAAATAATGTCGTTCGTTCCCTTTGTCCGATTGATTGCAGATAATTGCGCGTCAGAGAGGAGTCGGAAAATTACCTTTTACGACTACCCAATAACCTGTAAGTTCTCTGCATTTATTGTTATTATAACGTTCAAATAGTTTGATGAAGAGAACGATTTATGAGTAAATGTCTATTAAAAATCTTCTAAAAAGTTATTAATATTCTTTGAAAGAAGCTATCCTATGTAAAGATATTAGTTTGGTAAGTTCTTTTGCTTTATTTTCTCCAGAACACTTCCACATCTTGATCCACATCTCTCAGCCAGCCACTACAGCCATCATTAGCCTCGATCCTCGCACTTCGATTTATCATCCTGACTGGGGCGCATCTAATGAAATTGCATGTTAATGTACTAGGGATATATGCAGCCAGGATCATCCATTACTTCCTTGGGGAAAAAAATCGCACAGAAATAAAATAATAAATTACTATAGTGATCACAGTCAAGGAAAACTCTGCTTACGAAGATTTTGTATCGTCTCACTACACTATAATATAATGTGTGAAGATTTATGAATGAAAAACTTGAAACGCCTCTTAGTGTAACAATACAAGTTTGGAATAAGGGTGCTGAAGTATTAACATTTCCTTATTAACAATAGTCCTCTGTCCAATATGACAGAATATTACATATTGAATACAGTTTATTGTCTTGTTATCATTAATAATATCATACTTCTGTTCAATAATAAATTCGATTAACGTCTTAGAATAACTTACAAAGTTTTAAAGCCCCCTGTCTTGAACTCTCGCCAAAAGTTCATGAAAACTAGTCGTAGGTACATTTAACGTACATTTCAGATCCTCAGAAGCTATTTTCCGTTGGCTTACCATTGGAACTCCGGCGTGTAGAATTATTGGACATGTGCTTTGTTCGTGTGCATACTACTCTATTGTATAATAAGGTTACTTAAGAACTTTTTTACTTTTATTCGAATGACCAAACGATCCTTATAAATGTCTTTTTTTAAACCTATATTTGATGTTCTCTTCAAATATTTATGTTTTTTTAATATCAACTTATCTCTTGTATGTAAGTCACAACTGTAATAGAATTTTCTTTTAATATATTTACAATGTAGCAGAACTAGAAATAGAAATCTCGTAGTAGTAAAGTTTAGAGAAGAATTCAAATCGTATTTCATAATATGGTATAAAGCTTGTCAGTCTGTCCGTAGACAATTTTTCACTGTTTCATCTAGTCTCATCATTCATGTATGCTGTTAGCATTTCCAGAGCCAGGAAAAAGTTTAAATCTTAAAACTGAAGGAGTTCTCCTAAGAATTTTATAACACTTCAAGTTACTGGTATTTCGCTGCATTTTATAGTTTGAAAATGTCCACTGAAATATTGTACTGAACTTGTGGTCGTGAGATTGTACTGCTAATGAAAGATTTTTATAAATTTATAAAATATAAAACGTGGTCCGTGTCTTTGGTTTCCATGCATCTTTAATACGAGGTTATGAACAAATTACAATAAATTCATTTCATGAATTTAAAATGTAATGAGTTTATTAAAAATGTTTCAAATTATTATCATAAGCCGTTAAAATTAAATCATTTAAGTGGAAGGAATGGAATGGAAATGTGGATTGTCGTCGTCAGAATTCATTTTCGGATGATTTATTATTGTTAACATTACACTTGAATTATTATTATGTTATAAAAATATTTAATAATAATCAAAAAATATAACACCCAATATAATATTAATTTAGAAATAACTATTATAAACCAATATTGTATTTCAGATACGTATTATTAATTAATTAATGTTAAATTTATTTATATTCATAAATAAATATAGTTAGGAATAAACATGGTTAAACAAAATGTAATTGGGCTACAAAGTGTGTTTTATAAAAGCTTAAATAAAGCCGATTTAGATATTAGCTATAAAGACAAAATACACGTAAAAAAAAAGATAAAAAGAAGTCATATAATAAAATAGATCGTACACAAGGAAATCCGAGCCACTATTAAGGTAATGCCAGCGAACACTAGGCGACCAATTCCTGCGGCAATATCCTTATAATTTCTTTTTGATACCCGAATAAATCCACATCGGGGAAGTTAAATTACGTGTGGTGAGAGCGTATCGCGATTGTATCTAGACGGGAATAAATCCGGGGACTTTGCTGACGCCATATTGGATCCGGCAAGTATTCTCTTAAGTTTCATTAAGCGATAGAGAGATACGTTGAAATGCGACGTCTTACTACGATATAAATCGGAACGGTGCTCGGTAAACTTTGGGAACGCTTGATTTACTGCTGGAATTTGGTTTGCGTAAAACACGAACTTAATCCCATTGTTATTTCAGTTAGACGACTATAAGACGGCTACATAAATTTAACTTCGTCATATTGTATTTGAATACACGTTAGAAATGAATGCCGTACACACAGTGTACACGTAATTTTACCTATAAATGTTTGATTCATATTCATAACAATTTTCTTCCCCCGTACATATTTATCTTGACAAAGAATCAAATTTCGTTCTTTGAATGTAAGACAAATAGCTGGCACAATTTCGTTGATTTAACTCACGAGTTCATGCTACCTGGGAATGTAGTAAACACTTGCCAAAACCTAATACATCTATTATGTAGAGCGGTGTTAGGAACTGGAATTGACTTTGACCCAGTTTTATTCTAACTTTCAATTGTAGTCGTATAAACAATGTTAGGACTAAAAGAATCATATAATCTATTCCCGAAATATCGTTTTTAAATGTTGTAAGGAGAATTCAGAAAGTCGTGACATTCGTACAAAGATATGCGGCGTCTAATTAAAACTGAAAACGCAAGGGAAACCACATAATATGATATAACGTCATCGTCACATTGTTTGGTCGCGGAACGGAGTAACTTAGTTAGTTCTGGTCTGAAAGTTAGTCACAGTTAGTTATAGTTCTGCCGCGATGCAGCTTGAGCCGAACTGTTAATTATTAATCCACACAATATTGTTAAGAAAGTCTGTAGCGACGTCGATTTTTCTGTTTCGAGATGTTATCAAAGTTTTCATTCTATTTTCTTTACAAAACTTGTACATTAAAACATGTTCTGTAATAAAATTATAACTCATATACTTGTTGTACTCTTATCGGCTAGAATTGC